ACAATATTCAAAATATATTTTAATTAATATTTGTTTTGGTGAACAGCTGTGTGTGCATGTAGAGCACGTGGATATCACGTGAATTCTCTGCTTTGGAATGAAAAATAAATATTATAATAAATACTTGTACCGTGAATCGAGGCAGAGTTTTTTTTTTCTTTTTCTATTTCTTTTAATTTTAAATTCGTCTGTCATTTATATTTTATTAAAAGTTAAAAAAAAATTAAAAATATATTTTAATTTCTTCACCTGAAATATAAATTAATATCTTATTAAGAAGACGAGCATTAATGTATGGTGAATCCCAACCACTCAGATTGCTTCATTATTAAATCAAATACACAAAATAAAAATAAAATTTTAAATTTGTATTATTTTAAAAAAATATTATGTTTTCCTATCTAACTGACACGACACGATGATACGATATTGTCTACTTTGAGCATAAAGTCTCGTAGTTTTGCTTTAGGCTTCCCAAAAGTCTCACTCCAATAGGAGAGAGTATTCCTTGTTTATAAACTCATAATCATTCTCTAAATTAGTCAATGTCGGACTTTCATCATCCAACACCTCCCCTCGAACAAAGCACGCCTCTTCTTAATCGAGGCTCGACTCCTTTGGAGTCTTGTCACCCATGATCATTTCCTAAATTAACCGATGTAGGACTTTCATCATTCAACATTAAAATGTTTGATTTTTTTTTTTTCACTAGTTAATTTTTTTATCTGTCAATTTTGAATCAACTTTTTAAGTTGTCTGATAAATCTTCGGAGTATAAATAATGTAGAAGTTGTAAAAATTTGAGTCAACATGCCCCCGACCCATTTGATAATTTCTTGTTTGGTAGAAGTTCATCACGAAATTTACTAAAACTTGTATTTGTTTTAGAGCACATCACGAAATTTGAATTCGGTCTTTGATGGCCCTGACATTTCTCTGTATCCTCTATGACATCGATTCGTTACCTATTCATTGTTTTTTTAAGAGTTATTTCAGTATGATTTGTTCTAGCTTAGATGGGTGTCAAGAAAATTCATAAGAGGTTAAAATATATATTATTAGTTTGTCTAAAAAAACAAAAACTATTAATTTAAAAAGGTTAAAAATTATAATTCAATTTAAAAAATACATCCAATTTTAGAATAGAACGTCGTGCTTAGCTGCAGTGAATTCAAAGTACACGAGGCCATTGAGTGAATGGACCGTGGGGATTGTGAACGAGCTTGGTCAAAATCGGGTCTTGTTCGTTCATTGCAAATCAAAAGATGACAATTTGGGTGACCATAATGTAACAAATGGTCAGACTTATAAATGGCAATTCAAGGAGAATATAATTTCGACTACGCTCTTTTGGTGTACCCTAAGAACTTCAACTAACCAACACGCCAACTTCGAAGTATTTTGGAGAGAGAAAAGCGAGTGGCTAGCTTCTCATTGCAATTTTCGGTCTTGCATTTGGTATGCTCGGGATAACGGCATTTATTTGCTAAACATTCCTCAAAGTGCTTTCGAGTTTATACGTAATTGGGAACAATAGTTGGCCATTTGAGACTTTCGAGATGAGATACCTTTCTCTTTTTTAATCACGATCAAATCCATTGTTTACTATAATGGTTCAAAATAAAGTAATACACATCTTATTTCAATTTCTGGCAAGGGTTAGAGGTTGAATGCTTCGTTAATGCATCATTCCACTCGGAGTAAAAACAACGTTTTAAGATAATTAAAAATTAAATTCAATTTAAAAAAATTTATTAGTTAAAACATATTTATTTGGAATTTTAAACATAAAATAATTGAAAAATTATAGAATACAATAAAAAATAATTAAAAAATATCAAATTTGGTAAAATTGACCATTAAGATGAAACTTGATTATTAAATCATTAAATTGGTCACTTCTTTTCAACCGTGAGATTTCATATCAGTTAAAGATGAGAATGAATCATTTCTAATAAGGGTGTAAAAATATTTCTTTAAAAGACTTGTTTTTTAACACGGCAAAGTCAACGACGATACGTAATGAGTTAAAGCAGATAATATCTACTGGTGTGAACTTGAATTGTTACAAATTGCATTAGAGTTAGACACCCGGTAGTGCGACAGTGAGAATGCTGGCTCCCAATAAAGTGAATTGTGAGACCTCATATTATCCCGTGGAAAAACTTATTCTTAAACATTTTAAAAAATAATTAAATAATTAAATAAATAAAACAGAGTAATTAAATTAAAAAAAAATAGCATTTATCATAATGTTAATCATTTTTAGCATAAATATAAAAAGTATAATTTTGGTCCTTTTTTTTGAGTTGACCGTTGACTATGTGAAATATGCCTAAGTTCACTTTTCATTGAATATGACCTATTAATTGAGAAATTGAGTGTGTCTGACACAATTATTGACTTTTTATTTAACATAATTTTTATATTTTTTAATATATAGTAAAATGATTCTTCTATTTTTAAATATTTAATTTTAATTTGTTTTTATTTTATTTTAATTTAAAATTATAGGTTAAATTAATATTTAAAAAATACTATTAAATTTTGGATTTTAACTTAATACAATTAAAAAATTTTAAAAAAATTAAAAAATATTTTTATAGTTAGTTTTGGATAATTAATACCTTGCTTAAAAATATTGTTGAATTTTTAAAATAATTTCATTTTAGCTGATTTTTTAAATATATTATTAATACTTTTACATTTTTTTTAAATAAATTAAAAAATACTTTTACTCTAACGTGAAAACGTTTGTAAATAATCTGAGGTATTGAGAGACGATTTTCATCCATATATTTACAATGATAATTTTATTTTAATGCTATTTTTAAAATTTTACTAGTAATTTTTAAATATGGTAAATGAAGGGTAATAATGAAACTTTTAAAAATTAAAATCTTTTTGAAATATTATTAAAAGGGTAAGGATATTTTATTTTAAATTAATGGTATTTTTTAGATTTTTTTTTTTTTAGTTTACGAGTAGTTTTAGATAAGGTACATAGTTTATGAGCATTTCTTATTCCCGTTATTCCAAGGAAGCAAATTACTATCGATTTTAGGGATTATGCTAATTGAAGATGATAAAATGTCGAACGTACACTTTCAACCGTGCAATATCTTGATCTTGACACACTTATGACAAGTTTTAATAGGAACTCAAGCCCCATTTACATTTACATTAGACGAAATTCTCCTTCGCCAAATGAACACAACTCATGCAGAATCTAACACACACTGTCTGTGCATGCATATTCAATCGTCTAGGCTACAGTCTCTCATTTGCAATGTCGCATCTCATCTTGTCATTTTTGTTCCCAGCGACACAACTCATTCACGATAATGAAATCTCAAGTCTCGAGATGTCGTCAGCTTTTGCTAATAAAAATTCATCTATATCGTCGGAACACCACAAAACAATCTTGATTATCGACTATTTTCTATTCCTATTTATCTTCATGACGCTACCGTCGATTTTAGGGGTTGCGCCAATTGATTACAAATAAAGACGATCTTATTTCAAATCTTCAATTATTACTACTCCAAATAAACATGTCACATTAAATAATGGAATTAAGTGACATAGATTATTTTAAACTAAGATACAAAAATAGAAGTTACTCTAGCTGGAATGAGACAAAATTAAATAATTAAAAAAAGTGGAAAAAGTCAAATCAAGTAATAAATTCAGATCTATACATTGCATTTATTTATATTATTATTGTCCATTTCTACCTAAAATAACACAGCCGTACACATGTCAGCTCATTTCACTCATTATAATTTTTTCTTAATTAAATTTTATTTTTTATTTTTAAAAATTCGTCAAAAGTTTCATTTATATAATTTACTTAATAAAGATACTAAGATTAATGCATTTAATTTTATTTTTTCTAATTGTTTATAATTATTGTAATTTTTATTTTTTGAATAAAAAATTACACAAAATTAAAATATTGTAATGTGATGGGAAGGTGAAATATTTCTGTCCCAAATTAAGTGCGAATTAAAAGCGACCATTCGTTATCCAATCAGTCAATTTCCTTTTTTATTTTATTTTATTAATTAATTAATGTTTTTCACTTTATTTATTTAAATATAATCTAATTGGACCAAAAACTGTCATTGTCAATATTTAGTATATGAAAAAGACTTCAGAACTTCCCATTAAAAAAAAAAAAAATTTCTTAAATTTTAAAATATTATATTTTTAATTTTAAATTTAAACTTATGTTTCATTAAATAATATTTATGGGGCTTAGCGTCTTTACTGGTGCATCGCTCGGTGACTAACTCTAATACCATTTGTAACAACCTAGAGGTCCCGTGTTCTTACTGACACACTGCCTCGTGTTGCCCGATGACTGACTCTAATACCATTTGTAATGGCCCAAACCCACCGCTAGTAGATATTTTCATTTTTGGACTTTTTCTTTCGAACTTTTCCTCACGGTTTTAAAAATACGTTGACTAGGGAAAGGTTTTCACGCCCTTATAAATGATGTTTTGTTCTTCTTCCTAACTGACGACTTAGGATCTCACAAGTATTCCTTGTTTTTTTAATTATATATTAATATCTATTTAAATTGATTTAAAATTTAGTATTATAGAAGACACAAAATTAAATTTATTGATACAATTCATTAATTTAAATGACTATTAGACAAATAATTAAAAATATAAAAAATTTGTTTTTAATAATGATAAAAACAAAGTAAACTTTACTTTAACCAATATTTTTGGAGTTAAATTTTGGTATAATTTTTAAAAGATAATAAATGACGTCATAAAAAAAATTGGTGCTTGCGAACACTTATGAGTCCAGCTAATATGAGGCCCTATCAAACTGTAACCAATCGAAGGCTGACACGTCAGAGAGGGATAGAGATGTCATTTTCCTCAAACAATGGTGGGTTTTGGGTATTTTAGATTTTGTTTTTTAATTGTTGGAGTGTAATTAATATATGAATATTATTTTTGTGATTATTTTTTGAAAAGGAATGGCTTCAGGAGTTGGCAATGTCCTACAAAGCTCAGAGAAGCTCCCTCTGTTCGGCAGCTGAGCTGCTCCAATCCCCACAACAACTCTCTCTCTTTCTCTCTCTTCCCTTATCCCTTCAGTCACCTACAATTTCACCGCCTTTCCCTTCCAATCCACTTCCTCCAATGCCGAGAGCAGCGCAGGGGAATTAGGGGAAGATGCCGCTCGTCAGGGTGCAGGTCAAAAGCCAATTCGGGCTTGGAAAGCCCCATCTCTACAAGGAGGCCAATAATGAAGATCCCAAAGCTGTGCTTGACGGTGTAGCCGTTGCTGGCCTCGTTGGGATCTTGAGGCAGTTGGGTGATCTTGCGGAGTATGTTTCTTTTGCTTTCCCTGCTCTATATATATTATGCTTCGACGGTTTAGTTTCGAGTATTGAATGTATTTATGTTCTTGTTTCTAGATATTTCTTAGGTCTCGTACCGTGTTCTCTTAGATTAATCTAAGTTAGGGAATTAGTGGAGTTATTTTCACATCTGGAAATGGAAGGAATGTTTGGGAATGTTGAAATTCACTTGGAAATTGATTAGTTCCTTGAAGGGGAACTTCATTTTTGTATCTTGTTTAGGAAACAGATATGGGAAGGAGACAATCAAATCAGAGTTATTTGGTTGGGATTCTAATTCTTTTTTAATTATGTTTTTTCATGATTCATTTCATCTCTACTAGTTATTGAGAAGTTCTCTTAGAATGTGACAGACTCAGTGACTTGGTGAGTGTTTAGCCCCCTAACTCTTTCGCTTTTTTCTTCTTTTTTTTTTAGAATGTTACATTGTAGTTAGGGTGAGTGTGAGATCCCATATTAGTTGGGGTGGAGAAAGAAGCATTCTTTATAAAGGTGTGGAAACCTCTATCTAGCAAGCGCGTTTTTAAAACGTTGAGGGGAAGCTCGAAAGGGAGAACTCAAAGAGGACAATGGGCTTGGGCCTTTACAAATGGTATCATAACCAAACACAGGGCGATGTGCCAGCAAGGAGGTTGAGCCCTGAAGGGAGGTGGACACGAGACAATGTGTTAGCAAGGACGCTGAGCCCTGAAGGGGAGTGGATTGGGGGGTCCCACATTGATTGGAGAAGGGAACGAGTGTCAGCGAGTACGTTGGGCCCCAAAGGGGGGTGGATTGTGAGATCCCACATTGGTTGAGGAGGAGAATGAAACATTCTTTATAAGGGTGTGGAAACCTCTGGAGCCCCACATCGATTGGAGAAGGGAACGAGTGCCAATGAGGACACTGGGCCCTAAAAGGGGGTGGATTGTGAGATCTCACATCGGTTGGAGAAAGGGAGTGAGATCTCACATCGGCTGGCCCCCGAACGTCCTCATTAGCACTCATTCCCTTTCTCCAATTGATGCGAGACCCCTCAATCCACCCCCCTTTGTGTTGATATGCATATAGAGTTCGTCTGTAAGTTGTCTGAAAGATGATCATCGTCTTTGTGTTGATATGCATATAGGGTCTTTGAAAAACACTTTCACTTTGCTTGGTCCTTTGTGCAATGCAAGTATGTTGTTAAACAACATTTATACTGACTGGGATGGTATCATCCTGTGTTGTAGATTTGCGGGGGAGGTTTTTCATGGCTTGCAGGAACAGGTGATGGCAACAGCTTCCAGGAGCCGCAATGTGATGGCTCGTGTCAAACATATTGAAGCTGCCCTTCCTTCCCTAGAGAAGGCAATACTAGCTCAAACAAGTCATATTCATTTTGCTTACACAGCTGGTATGACTCAATTGCTACCTAAATCATTGATTACTTAGACTAAAACATTATTTATTTCAACTTTTTTGGTGCTATCGACTTGTCCGTTGTAAATACTCTGGACCTGAATAGAGAATCCCTTGTCAGTATGGATTAATTCGTAAAAATGAAGAGGAACTGCACTAAACTGCACCCCCGACCCGTAAACACGTACACAAACTACTATTTATTGGCTAAAATACAGACTCCAGCCATATGATATTGTTTGTACCTCACTTCTTCTGTGTATTCTCTGTTATCTAACCAACATGAGTGTTAAATATTTCTTGGCTAAGAAGCACGGATACAGATACGAAACATAGACACGACACGACACAACACAGCTTAGACACAGTGACATGTCATTTTAAAAAACTAAAGGACATGTACACGATAAGGACATGTTTATTTATATCTATTTAGAATGCTTAACAAGCATTTCATATGTCTGTCAAACGCTGGACTCATATTCACTTGATACGATTAGTGTTTGATTCGTATCTATTGTTCTAACAAGTGTGTGATGCATGTCCAATAAGTGTCGAAGTGTCCAACACACACTATCCAAACTAAACGTCTGTGCTTCTTAGCTGCAAAGTGAATGTTTGAAGGAGGTAGTTTTCTGATTCACTGACAGGATGAGTGATCCTAGTTTATTTTAACTCGGTACTGTTCACGAACTTATCTTCATAAACTGGGTTTGTGTAGATGAGCTTTAGAGCAGCGCAGTTACAACTATAGCATTTTAGCAACATTTGATATTTGCATAATGTAAAGCAGTTGCTTTGCAGGTTCTGAGTGGCATCCTCGTATTCAAACAGACCAAAATCACTTCATCTATCATGATTTGCCACGATTTATTATGGATTCCTATGAAGAATGTCGTGATCCTCCGCAACTTCATTTGCTCGACAAGTATGTTCAGTTCGTTATCGTTGTTTAACATATTTCTTCTTATTGAAAATGAGAGGCAAGCTTGACAATGTTGTTCTTCTCTCCATTAGATTTGATACGGGGGGTCCTGGATCTTGTTTAAAGCGTTATTCAGATCCAACATTCTTCAGAAGAATATCAACCTCAGGAAAAGTAAGCTTGGAGAAGGTTCGAAGTGATAAAAAGGCTCAAAAGATCAAGGTATGTACTGAAAATCTAGGGGTTGTGCTATGTGCACTTCTCAAATAAGTGGCCAGCCCAAAGTCCAAGCCTACCGCTAGTAGATATTGTTCTCTTTGGGCTTTCCCTTTCGGGCTTCCCTTCAAGGTTTCTAAAACGTGTCTGCTAGGGAGAGGTTTCTACACCCTTATAAAAAATGTTTCGTTCTCCACCCCAATGTGGGATGTGACAATCCACCCCCTTCAAGGCCCAGCATCCTCGCTGGCACTCGTTCTTTTTTCCAATCAAGGAACCTTGAGGGGAAGCCCTTGAAGGGAAAGCCCAAAGAGGACAATATCTGCTAGGTAAGCCATTAACGTTAGAACTCAAGGGAAAGCAGTACAACCTATAGAACAGATACTGTTCAAGTGGTCAAGAATATGGAGTCATTGTTTTATTTAATATTCTTGAAATCAAAGATTGGCTCTATCATTTTGACAAATAAATTAACAACGCACAGAGAAAACGATCGATGATGCGCAATGGAGAAGTGACATGTGGTGCATCAATTCCCAGTTTTAATAGCAGGTATTACAAACTAACAGTTAGATTTTGGACATTCCATCTTTAGTTGAATAGAACACTGACAACTAGATATGCAGCTTGCAGTTTAACTCCATTTCCAATGAAGTAGCTTCCTTTTCTCAAACTGCTACAGCTGATATGAGGATGAAATCAGATGCTGGGGAGTCTTCAAATTCTTTTGATTCCGGAACTGGGTCACGATATACCGGAAGCGTTACGAAATTAGATTCTTCCTTGCCAACTAAAAAACAGGAATTTAGGAAATCTTCAAATTCAAGCATGATGCAGTTTAATGATGCTGTTGATTCATTTGCCTCAGATGAACAAAGTAGGATGGTAGATGATAAATTTCAATTTGAACTAGATGATCCAATTGATTTGAGTTTCTGTTCTCATGTAACATGGGATGAAAAGGCAGAAATAAGGAAGCCCAGGAATCAGCAAGATAGTGTAGAAAAGATAGAAATGTTGCAGCCAATAGGTCAACAGGATGTTAGAGAAATGGCTGAAATTATGCAGCCGAGAACCGGAAAGGATGTCGAAGAAATGGAAGAAATTATACAGCCAAGGTCCCAACAGGATGTTAGAGAAAAGGAAGAAATTGTGCAGCCAAGGACTCAAAAGAGAGTTAGAGAAATAGCAGAAATGTTGGAGAAAAAGTCCCGACGGGATGTTACTGAAATGACAGAAATTGTGCAGCCAAGGACTGAAAAGGGTGTTAGAGAAAGGGCAGAAATTGTGCAGCCAAGGTCCCAACAGGATGTTAGAGAAATGGTGGAACATGTGCCGCCTAGGGCTCGAACGGATGTCAGAGGAATGGACGACATTGTGCAGACAGGGTCCCAACAGGATGGTACAGGAATGATAGAAAATCTGCAGCCAAGGACTCAAAAGGGTGTCAGTGAAATGGCAGACATTGTGCAGCCCAGGACTCAACAGGATGTTAGTAAAATGGAGGAACTTGTGCAGCCCAGGACTCAACAGGATGTTAGTAAAATGGAGGAACTTGTGCAGCCCAGGACTCAACAGGATGTTAGTAAAATGGAGGAACTTGTGCAGCCAAGGACTCAACAGGGTGGCATAGAAAAGCCAGAAATGGTGGAGCCGGGTAGTCGACAGGGTGATAGTGAAAAAGTGGAGATAGGGGAGTCAAGGCGTCAACAGCATGATAAAGATGAAGAATATAATTTTCCTATACCTGAATCTACCGATCCTCAGGAAATGGAAGGCTTTTACCTCAGAAATGATGAACAAACGAGCACGCCTGCTAGTAATGGCCACCTGCTAGAATCCGTTAATGACGGGAATGTAATCGATGAAGTTGAAAGTGAAACGGATAATTATATGGATGCCCTCAACACCATTGAGTCAGAATCTGAAAGTGACCTTGATTGTCAGACGAAACGAGAAGTCGAGCCATGCTCATCCACTATAAAGTGTGAAGTAGTAGAACCAGTGCATGATGTCCTTGAATTGAGTTTGGATCCTGATATTTCGATTCTTAACCCGAGTAATGAGCCTCAAACGTCCTTTGACAAATGTATGATGTCCAGTCTGCCAAATTTAGTTTCTTCAGATAGTTTTTACCATGATCAAAGGCTCGAAAACGCCGTGAAGGATTCTAACCTCGACGATCCCCTAGTAACTAATTTGCATGACAAGGAAAGTTCCATATCAGAATCTGATATCAGTGACTCCTTCCCTCCTGACTCCACTTCTAGTTTCGAGGATCAGTCAGGAATTAAATTATTGAACACGGTGCACGAATCACATGAATCTGAAAAAGCTTCTTTCTCCAGCAATCCGTTAGATAAGTTCTGGACTAATGGTGGCTTGCTTGGACTTCAGCCATCAAAACCTCCTTCTTGGGCTGTTTCAAATGCTTCTCGTGAGGACGCGAGTAAAGGCGAGAAACATGGCCCTTCTCATCATGCGTTTTTGATCAATGGTAATGCACAAGAAATGAAAATGGGTACTTTTCCCAAAGATGCTATTAACAATGAGAATGATTCAACTTCTAAAAAGTCCTCATTGCATCACGATGATCAGAAATACGATACGTCTCGGATATTGTCAAGAGATGAAAGTCTTGATATTAATCATTCAAGCAATGGATCTAGTTGTGTCCATATGAATGATATGGAAAAAACCATTATGGAGAAAGATGAAGATTCCAGTCAGAATTCTGGACTTGGCCATCAATTGCTTGTAAATGGCTTTCATAGAAAACTAACGCTAATACAAGACGAAAGATTTGAGACTACGTCTGGTCCAGATTCATGTCCTCCTTCACCCCCACTTGATCACATGAAAATCTCTTTCCATCCTGTTTCTGGTTTTGAAATTTCAAAATTGAAATTGAGATTTCCCGACGACAGTGAAGGCCAAGGAAGCACGAACGACATATTTCCATTGTTTCAGTTGGCTCCCGAGGAGTCTATTTCTGGGCATGAGATTGGCTCTGAGTATGATGACGACGACACGTTCTGTAGATCATCTCCATGTATGTCAGATGATTGTCTTAGTGATCGCTCCAAGTCGAATTCTGACCTGTGGGAATCAGACGACGTTTCAGAAAGCACGCGCAAGAATTCGTATGATTTACACATATCACAGATGGCATCATCATTTGAGGGAATCACAAAAATTGGGACTACTGTGGACGGTGAAAGTGAAAATTTGTACACTACGGAGGGCATGGATGATTCGTTTTCGGGTCCGTTACTTGATCTTCCATGTTTTGACATTGTGAACACTGTAATGAGTGAAAGAATTGATGATATTGATGCAATGAATCTTCTTAAGCCGCAATGTTCAGATAATCCTGTTCCCGCTGTGCCTCCTCTTCCTCCTGCACAATGGTGTGTATCAAAAACATCCTTGAATGTGTCCGAAGACCTAAAGGATTTATCTGCTCGGTCGGAACAGGTGGAACCGATTGTCTTGCAGCAGCAAATAACTCATGAGCCCATTGCAACCAAGCTAAATGACAAGGTAAATAGTAGTATAGTGGTTATTTTGATAGCAAACATAAACAACCAGGATGACTCAAGGCGTGGGAAGTTCTAATTGTTTATACATTTATTATTGAATGTAGAAGCCAGAACAAGTGATGGTGGATGGTAAAAAAGAACTAAACCGCATCGGAAATGGCCAAGTGATGGATGCGAGGGAAGATTTTCTGCAACAAATTAGAGAAAAAGTAAGCAATTTTCTTACGCTTTTGTTTAACATTCGTTTTCTTTTATTGATTTGGTTTGATTCTGATGGATTTTGAATTACCGTGTAATGGCCCAAGCCCACCGCTAGTAGATATTGTCTTTTTTGGGTATTCTCTTTTGGGATTTCCCTTAAGGTTTTTAAAATGTGTATGCTAAGGAGAGGTTTCCACACTCTTATAAAGGGTGTTTCATTCTCCTCTCCAACCGATGTGGGATCTCACAATCCACCCCTTTTCGGGGCACAGCGTCCTCGCTGGCACTGTTCCCTTCTCCAATCGATGTGGGATCCCATCCACCCCCCACCCCCCTTCGGGGCCCAGCGTCCTCGCTAGCACTGTGGGACCCCCCCAATCTACCCCTTTTGGGGCTAGCATCCTTGCTAGCACACTGCCTCGTGTCCACTCCCCTTCAAGGCTTAGCCTCCTCACTGGCTTATCGTCCGGCGTCTAGCTCTGATACCATTTGTAACTGTCCAAGCCCACCGCTAGCAGATATTGTCTTTTTTGAGCTTTCCCTCATGGTTATTAAAACGTGTTTGCTAGGGAGAGGTTTCCACACCCTAATAAAGGGTATTTCGTTCTTTCCCCAACCAATGTGAGATCTCACAATATGATATATGGTCAGTTTTATTTCTTGCAGAAAGCTCGGCAAATCAAATCATCCAAGTATACAACTTGGTTATGTTGTCAGTTCAACTCTATACTAATACCAAGGCCATACCATGCATACATTAGCATTTGTGCATTCGGAGATCATACGCATGAACTCACGTTGGCGATCATGTTTGTGACGCATTCGTAGCATTCTTATTATATTAACTAGACATTTGCCTCTATACTAAATTCTGAAAGCTGCCCTTGAAGATTCTTATATCATAATTTTTGTAGCCAAGATTTCCTTTGTTCAAATAAGATCAAAAGTTATATAGTTCATGCTAATAACTTTTCTCGACCATGTTATCCCCAGTCATTCAACCTAAGACCTACAATGACTGAGAAGGCCAGCACTACAGCAGGACCTGCTACCCATGTCAAAGTCACAGCAATTTTGGAGAAAGCCAACGCGATTCGCCAGGTTCTTCATTGTCTTGTTTTCCAACTATGCACACTATATATATACATGAAAGACTCGCCATAACTATTTGAGTCATTTCGCAGGCTGTTGGAAGTGACAACGGCGAAGATGACGATTCTTGGAGTGATGCCTGATTGTAGATATGAAACCTATGTTTCCCAGAGACAACTCTCATAAAGATGCTAATAGTTGCATATGTAATAAAACTCATGGTATGTCTTGTGAATAAGCTTCCTTTTTGACTTATATTCCCTTAGAGAACTTGTTAATTCCTTGTAAGCATTGAGAATTACGTATTAGGTGCTGGGAAAGATATGTTTCACCATACTTGCAGGCTGCAGCAAGCAATAGAGTGCATAAAAGAAAGCCTGAAAATGGTTGTAAATTCGATTCTTTTAGCTTTTTCTCCGTCTCTTTAATTGTCTTTATGAGATCCCATATCGGTTGAGGAGGAGAATGAAGCATTGTTTATAAGGGTGTGGAAACATTTTCCTAGCAGATGCGTTTTAAAAACCTTGAGGGGAAGTCCAAAAGCCTAAAAGGAAAAGTCCGAAGAGGACAATATATGTTAGTAGTAGGCTTGGGCTGTTACAAATGGTATTAGAGTCAGACAGGCTTGAGCTGTTACAAATGGTATTAGAGTCAGACAGGCTTGAGCTGTTACAAATGGTATTAGAGTCAGACATTAGGTGGTGTGCCAATGCGGACGTTGGACTCTGAAGGGGGGTGGATTGTGAGATCCCACATCGGTTGGAAAGGAAAATGGAGTATTTTTTTTATAAGGGTGTAGAAACCTCTCTCTAGCCGATACGTTTTAAAAACGTTGAGAGAAAGTCTGAAAGGGAAAGGGAAAGCCCAAAGAAGACAATATCAGTTAGTGGTGGGCTTAAGCTCGTTACAGTCAGTCTTTCTAATCCGTATCTATTCTGATCGGATTAGATTGACCTTTTCCTCCCTACGAAAGTTAACGTTTTGGCATCATTCATGGACGGAAAAGAAAAGAAATAAAGAGTTCGAAAAAGTGTTGCATACCATGTAAGAAGACCAAAAGGGGAAGTAAAGTACGTTGGTAAAGTCTTCGAAGAATCATTCAAAGAAATACTTATAAAAAAAAAAAAAAAGAAGGGTCAAGCCTTGGATTGTAATATCCCAGAAACTACAGAATTTTATTGACCAAGAAAGAGCAACTTCCAATGGAAGAAACTCCAACATTATTGAATTAAGTGCTGCGCTAAGTCTTCCCATACGTCTCAGGTTAAAGTTATATTTAATAGGTTCTTAAACGGCATATATAATTTGTCTAATAAACGATTAGGTGATATCAAGAAACATGCGGTACTGATTTAAAACTCATGAATTTCGACCCATGTCCTTAACTTTGGAGTTCATGATTGAATTAATGAAAAAGAACGTGCACCTTGTTGGTATAGATATAGATAGTAAATTTACTTGTAGGAGTACATCTTGGATCTGCCGATTATGTTATGGACGAAGTCCTACTCACAGGGACCTGATCGAATTGGAAGAAGCCGTAGGTATTATTACGAGTCAATCTATTGAAGAACCGGATACTCAACTAACATTAAGAACTTTTCATACCGACGACACCAAAATTTTTAAAAAGTAATTGATAATAGGTATAAAATTAAAGAAATTTTTGTGTCTAACATCAAGCCAAGCCAAGCTAGGTTTACTCCAAGTTTACATTATGGCTTTAGACCACTTCAAAATGGAATTTTTATCTTCCATCCTGAGACATTTAAGAGTTCGTGGTATCTATTGTAATACCATTAGTAATAGCTCAAACTTACCCCTAGTAGATATTATCTATTTTAACGCATTATGTATTGTTGTCAGCTTTACGATTTTTAAAACGTGTCTACTAAGGAGAGATTTCTATACCCTTATAAGAAATATTTCATTCCTGAACATCCATCCATCTGGGTTCCATCAAGCATCAAACTCTCTTGTGTTCATGCTAAATATTTACGGCGTACGTTCCAGATAGCGGGTGCATAATCTAACCTCTGACACATGGGCTGAGACACAATATCGGCACACCGATGTTGTTCAGTACTGTTCTTAAAAGACCATTTTCAAAGGATGACGCGCAATACTGGCACACCCGCGTCGTCCGGTTCTGTCTTTGAAAGACTCTTTTCAGTGGATGATGCCCAAGACGCTCACCCATGTTGTGACACACCATGCCTCCCCTATAATACGTTTTGAGGCATTGTCAATCCTTCTTGAGTAGACGTCTTTTTGGCGAGCGAACATACGATCTCGTGCATAGTTTGTAGAGTACTCGATTGACACCAAAATTTAGCAAGGTTTTATCTTTCATATAGATGTACTTAATTTTCGAGTTGCGTGTCGAAACTCCAACTTCTGAGATTACAGCCCGTGGCCCTACCTGACCCTCTTTAAGCTTGTCTTCAACACTAGTGTCGCCTCGTTCTCTCGAACCTTGGGTATACCTCGACTTAGTTTCAATGCACGCTCTTGGTGTGTTGGATGATGCACCATTCTCATTGGTTATATCATAACACTTCTCAATCTTGGCATTCACGTAGCCAGATAGGCATCACTTGAGGGTCGCTCCTTGTGTGTCTTGTATGCGGGGTCACAACCTACTTTCTTTCAATGAGGTTGTGACACTCTCCCCCACTTAATCCAGTTATTATCCTTGACGACTTTCTCAGGGCACAATCGTATCGTCGATTATGACAAGTAGCACGCGAGTCGAGACCATGTTGCATGATCTAAGACTCTGGCTAAGCCATTTGCTATTGAAACCAAAGTTTTCAAAAGGTTACCCAAAATAGAATTACTCCATACTCTCCATGATTGAGTTACCAAAAAAGGAAGTGCACCTTATTAATATAAGTAAATGTCTTTCAATTCTTTTAAGCTTTCCTTAACCATCCTATCGTCATAATCACTCCCATTTGAATGTAGTCTCGGTTCATTCATATACGTCTCTTTTACTCGAGTATCACAAATTCCAACTCGCAACAGTGACTAATTTTAACAATTACACGAACCAATCATATTTAAAACTACCTATACTAAACCAAGCTGAAGATATCATATCAAAGACATATCTTTATACATTATAATATGAAAAAGATCAAATCTTCCAATTTAAAAATGGAAAAAAGAAAGGAAAGAAATAGTGATGGAAAGCATCCCAAACAAAAGTGCATCTCTTTCCAATGAAAAATGGTGTTTTGTCTATCATTATACAAGTGCAAAAAAAGCTGTTCTTGGAAAAGAGGGTTACTTTCATATTAAGTTTATAAAAAAGATTGCTTTATTTAAAGCAAATCCATTTATTAAAAGCATTCCCCAACTTTATAACCCTTTTAAAAAACCAAGTATCATCAAAGTTAACTCACCAAATACATGCATTCAAACCCACCTAAAAAAGTCGATTCAATCTTAAAAATTTCGATTACGACCCCCGAATACGTTTTCGTTTTAAAAAGTAACGAAATTTGCTACGTGGGTTCTTATCGTACAATGTTTATAGATATATATATGAAACGAAAAAGACTTTTAGATCAGTAAATCATGTTCGGTTGTTCCTTTAATAAAGTTATTGAGTTGCTCTGTTTCTACGTAGAGTTCAAATATTCTTTTCATAAAACCAAAACAACTTGCTAAAGCCTATTTGAGAATCGTTTTGTTTTGAGTTTTCTGATTCCTCGGGAATATATTTTTTAAAATAGGTATCAAAATAAAAATAAAAATAGGGTTTATAATAAGATGGGTTAAAATTTTTGAAGAATTTTTATGTGAATGTCAACTCTGTCCATGTGCTAAGATTTGTAAAATTTTATAGATTAATAAAAAGAGCATATTATAAACTAAATAATTGATATAATAATGAAAAAAAAATATACCCTAAGTATAACGCTACCAACAATCATCCATAATAATTTATTGTTGGTAGAATAATTTGGTATTATTTTTCAAACCACTTGATTATTATAATTAAAAAAATTGTTATTATTTATTATAATTAAAAAAAGTGTTATTGATTATTATAAGCATAAAATGATTGTTTGAAAAGCAAAAGATTAAATAATGTGTGGAAATTTTAATTCCGATCCAGTCCATATATTACACGACAAAATCATTTTTATTTTATTTATTTTTATTTATATATATATTAATTGTCTTTATTATTATTATTATTATTATTATTATTATTTTGGGTTGGAGAGTTGTGGGAGAGTGATGGAATTTTATATATATTTTTTAAAATCCTCTCTCATTTGAAAAACAAAATCCCGATTTAGCTCGTTAATGGTCATGACATTTCTTTGCATTTACTGTTGTTTGTCTGTTTTGACCCGTTATGTATTACCATCAATCTCATGGTTTTAAAACTTGAAAATGAGAGATTTCCACACCATTATAAAGAATGCACGGTTCTGTTTCTCTCTTTAACCGATTTGGGATTTCATAATCTACTCTTTTATGAAAAGGGTCTAGCCCTACTCTAACTAGTGCCTCACACCGTCTGATGACTGGCTCTGATACCATTTGTTATAGCCGAAGCCCTCCACTACTATTTGTCGTTAGCATCACGATTTTAAAACGTATGTACTAGGGAGATGTTTCCTACCCTTATAAGGAATGCTTCACTCCCCTCTCCAACAAATATGGGATCTCACACCTGCGATACTATTACATTATCTACTTATTTTGAACGGCTTCTAAGAGTGAAATTTATCTCTACAAACCAACGCGAGTTCTTTTAGTACGTTTTGCCCTTACTCATATACAATACTTGAATTCTCGATGTAGATACTACATAGTTGGTTCTCATCCTTCAGTGACTACGAGTGTAATAGGAGCATCCGGATCACCCTAAGATGATCATCACATGGCTATTGAGAATGAATCAAATCAAATGGTTTTATTTCTCAATCTTTCTGACTTTCTCCTACAGAACTAAGATAAAAAAGATTGAGAAAAACCAGTAATTCACAACAACTAATGAATGATTCCCCAAAAAGTTAAGGATTAGTAATCCTTTTTAGAAATCAAATGGATTCGACCTTATACATACACGAGGAAGGAAATAAAGAGACTAGGTTAGGGTCGGGTGTATGTAATCTCTATTTTTGACCTTTTTTAGCTAACAAGAAGAAATCCCTCCCGAATCACTCTCTCCTTCTCTATTCTGTTCGAGGCAGGTCCTTAACCATCGAAAGACGTCTCTCAATGATTATCATCAAATTTTTATAATGTTTGAAAAGAAAGAAAGAAGATGATAATGATGATGTAGTGAAGCAATGATGTGTACAAAAAGCTCATCCAAACCTTTTCTTTTCCTTCTCACCAACCTCTCTCTTCACTTACCCTTTTCCCCTTTTTCCTTTCAATTATAAAGTCCCCATTTTTAATCCCAATTTCCCAAACCACCTATCTCTCTGCCTCTCTCTCTCTCTCTCTCTCTCTCTCTCTCTCTCTCTCTCTCTCTCTCTCTCAATGATGGCGGAGAGAAACAAGTATGAAGACGACGAGGGTGGAATCAAGCTATTTGGGACAACAATTGTGTTGCAAAATAAGAGGCAAATGAAAGAAGAAGACACCAACAAATCAGAATCAGCTGAAAAAAAACCGGACAAGATGATTCCTTGCCCAAGATGCCAAAGCCCCGACACCAAATTTTGTTATTTCAATAACTACAACGTTAATCAGCCAAGACATTTCTGTAAGGGCTGCCAGAGATACTGGACGGCCGGTGGCGCCCTCCGCAACGTCCCCGTCGGAGCCGGCCGCCGGAAAACCAAACCTCCTTGTCGGACCTTTGATGGGTTGCCGGAGAATTGTGTCTTTGATTCTTCAGGGATGGTGGCGGTGCAGCCGTTTGAGTTGGAGGAGTGGCACGGTGGTTTCAACCAAATTTCACCGGTGAAGCGGCGGAGAGATTGCCAAGATGGTCAAACCTGTTGATTCCTATCCCTTTTTCCCTTTTATTTTTTTACTTGTGTCAAGAATTTCTAATTTGAAAAAAGAAACTTGTTTTTGTACAAATACAGACTTTGTTTATAGTTTTTGGGAGAAAAAAGATTGGATTTTTAATGCTATGATCTTGAGCATCATCAATAATTACTCTCTTAAAGGTCAAAGCCATGTTTTATAATTGATTACATAAACACCCAATTAAATTAGGATTAAGATGCTTAATGATTACAAGCTACTTGATTGAAAAATAGGGAAAATAATTCTTTAGATGGGTTTTGATTAATTCATTCAATAAGCGTATTATTTAGTTGTTAATCATTTTTTTCTTGCAAAGCCATGAAGATCCAGCTTTCTGACATGGGAGGAAGAAATGAGAGAGTTTGTTATCGATTTTGGGTTGATATTTCAAAACTCATATGATAAGATCAAGAATGCTACAATCAATAGATAGTTGAGGTGCACGCAGGTGTAATGTCATGAATGTTATGATCAACATATAGTTGAGATGCATGTAAGTCGAGAGAACTAACTTAGCATACGGTTTTTGGTGAGGTTAATTGTAACAGTTTTTTAACAAAACTCTTATCAAAGATTGTTCGTCGTCAAATAGAAAAACTTGGGCAAATATCTTCTCAATGGTCGTCGTTCACGGGCAACGAGTGAGTTCGATTCTAGTTTTCGAAATTTAAAACATTTTTATGTCAGTTTAACTTTTAGGTCTTATTTGTTGGTATAAAAGTTGTTTATGAATGATTTTCATCTTGAGTTGGTGGAGCTATCGATGGGTTTAGGTGGGTTGGTATAAATTTATCGAAACTCATTTGAGATTTATTTAGATATCTCAATTGTACTGAAAGTAACATTAAAAGGGTTTCAACATGAAATGAAATGTAATTATATGTATGTATAACTGTATAAATATCCGTGAAATGTTTGCTCATCAACACGAGAACAGTTTAAATTTTTTTTTTTTTTTTTTTTTTTTTGTTTCGTTTCGTTTCTTATGATTTAATATATCTTTTTAGCTGCATGTGATATATATTCGAACCATATTTTTAATGTCTTTTCCCAAGTCCGAGGTTTTATTTCCACAGACACTAGGAGTTGAATGTATTCAGAATTTATAGGAGGATCTGAGGAACATTTGCATGTTTGTTTTTGTAAGTTTGCCCTTTCATTGTTGCCTTTCATATACAAACAGTGTCATATTTTTCAACCTTTTTTCTGCTCAGCCCAATAGCATAGAACACGTCTATATAAGAGTGATTCTTAAGATATAATGGTTACTACGTATACAAATTCGGTGTAACTTTCTTTTCGATGACTCAACTATAAAAACTTCAATATTAAGCATGTTTTGCTTAGAGCAATTCTATATTGGGTGATATCGTACAATATGAGTGAAGACAAAACATGCGAAAAAGACCTGTTGCAAGAGATGCAAGAAGAAGCAATCCAAGACGGTAGATAATACAATCATGTCACAGAATGTTAAGGTTATCAGAAACCAAATCTAAATTCCAAATCCTGTAATATATGTATTTCAAGCATCCGTATTATCTACTTTTACTTTGCTTATTAAGTCTTCCGCAAGTCGTCATTGTCTGCTTTGGTCCATTATGTATTGTCGTCAACCTCACAGTTTTAAAACGTATTTGTCAAAGATAAGTTTCTACACTCTTATAAGAAATGCTTCATTCTCTTTCCAACCAACGTCTGATCTCACACCTTTTTAACTGATGCATGAAGATTCAATTTCAACTGATGCATGAAGATTCAAACGACTCAAACCAAGTTGACTGACAGTGCAAGAATTGAGATAGCTACTCAACTCCATTAGAACAAATATCAATAATTGGAACAAGTCACAGCGACATGGAAGAAGAAATGGACTTCACAAGAATAAATGGAGTGATCATCAACAAAGATGGCCATAACAGCTCCAAAGTAAAAGCTTCTAATTATCAAGTTGGTTTAAGATACCAGTATATCAATGTTGTTTCTTCTTCAACATCATTACTGTAGAAACAGATGTAGAACTACCCTTAATTTCTCTGTAGCAAGCTTTTACATGGGCAGAGAAATTCATATACAAGGCTACTTACATCCAAGCTACACTATACTAAACTGTGACAATGCAAATAATCTGTGGTATTCTCTCATCCTTATAACGTGCTGATTCTTCAACATGATTGAACACTATTACACAGGCAGGTATTACTCACAGCTATGAGCTACCTGTGGGGGCTGCCAACCAAAATGATTCTTGTTGCTTGAGGGTGTCTGCGACATGAGCTACCACACCAGCACCAGCATTGTAAAGCCATTCATTTTTCACCTGAATTCATGATACATAAGTATTAGCAACCGAGAAGAAATGGCTTGAAACGGGGAAAAGAAGAGAGAGCGATCGGAAACGAACATGGATGTTGTTATGCGCAAAGAATGGCCAGAATGAGGAGTGAAAGCTGACATCAACTTTTTTCCATGCCACCTGTTGCAAGCCTCGGATCATCTCCTCTGGAAAGAAAATGAGGGGCCATCATTACACCAATGATATCGGGCAAGGAAACAATCACCTAATAATCACGTTTAACTTCCTGCTGGAGTTGGCTTTGTACCTTCCATGATTTCATAATAATCCACTGTGTTGTGCGCAATGGGTGATTTTTGTGCCGCCTCCTTTCTTTGAGCTGCTTCTAAGGGGAAATTGGCACCAGCAGAGGGAACAGGAGGATAATAGTCTGCGTCTACAACATGCATGTAACCATCCAAACATCGGCGAGGGGGCTTCCAAGAATGATAGCAGATGTCAGAATGATAATGTATACTACTCCCATACTTGCAACATTCGTATACTCCTACACCTTCCGAACAACAATTTTGTTTCTGAATATGGCTAAGAACTCAAATGTTTCCTTAGGAATAAAGACAACTATTGTGAAGAGTTCGGGAGAAAACAAGCACAATTTTCAAAAACTAAATAAAATCGCTATGGGTACTCCTAGTGGTCAAGAATAGTCATATAAATAATAAAGGGCCTAGAGGGAGTGAGTTCAAACCATGGAGACCGCTATTTTAATATCATAGAGTTATTTTGGCAACCAAATATAGTAGGTTAATTGTTCCATGAGAATAGTGGCAAGCAAGCTAGCCCATTTACTCATGGATAGACAATCAATAAAGAATCAAATAAAAAGAGGAGGCTAAACCAAAGTTTCCTCTTAACTCTATCTTGGTTTCAACATTTAGTCAACTAAAAGGTATAGACCTTGTAATTACCTAGTGTCAACAATATCTATTCCCGACCCAATATCCTTCAAGATTATCATCCCACTATGTTCTTGTTAGAATTTCTTACCATCATGATAAAATGGAAACATATGAAATAAATCATTACCTGCATAACTTCATTTTCTCTCCTTATAGATGATGTGCGCCAACCAACCATATCTATTTGAAGTTCAAAACGAAAATACGGTTAATGAGGCAAATAAAAAAGGATCAACAAAATAACAGGAAAAAGAAAAGGGTACAAGGCATTCAGTGGATACGGTCATAAGCTACATTGGCATAAAGGATGCACGATTGAAAAGCACAAAGGGCAGATCTGCAAGGAAAAGAAAAAAAGAAAAAAAAGACATCATAGCGACCATTGTGTGACAGCATCCACAACAACAGGGGGGCTGAGGGGCCTTTCCACAAACTGAACAAAGATTCAAACTTACATGAATTTCCCTTCTTCACAGTCAGATGCCATTCTTAAGAGAAGTGGCGGTTTATCGAGTTTTGCATCTGTAAGGAACAGCTGACTGCCCGTTAGACCCACGACAATAGGGGCTATTGGTAGAGCCAGTTTCTCTAGGAATGGAAGTCCCAGAAGAAAAGGAAGCTGAGAGAAGAAAATGTTAACTAGTTTAGGGACCATTCCAAGTATCAGAATATAAATCCAATTGCTATTATTAAAATGTCTGCCATAACAATTTATTTCCCCTATTGCGTGCATGAACAAGAGGAAGCATATTGTAAGTCAAAAATTTGATTTTACAGCTAAAACATTACATTTAGAAATAAGTTTATGGTTTGGGTATTACCAACGGAGGTAGAGATGTTACACAGGGTAGCGTTTCATTCTATGGTGGAATTACATGACCACAGGATCCATCAATGAAAAGAAAATTCCATTACTAACATGAAGCGTGCACATAATAAATCAGACTGTGGTTTTATTACTGGATAGTTAAGTCATTGGAAGTCCAGTAATCCTATCATCAACCCAACATTAGAATAATTTTCTCATTCCCCTTTTCACTAAACTCAACAGGTATTATGCTTTCACTTTGTAATCATGATGGTGTAGTTGCAATTGTTCATGTCACATACACCATTCAAATAGTTTACATTTGCAATAAAAACATATCCGATTTCATCTAGTGTATGAGGATCCATAAACAAATAACTTGAAATTGGAATTGTAGTGCCAATAGTGATAAAACTTATTTCAAACAGTACCGTTCTAGCGTACATTGTTTTAAAGAAGCATGGATAATATTTTCGACGACATTGGAGTGAAATAAAATAAGAGCTCTTCAACGAAAAAAATTCATATTTGTTGAATATTTGCAGTTTCTTTAGGCTAAGATATTTCGAAGTTTTATATGTTTTATTCTAAGATATTTCAAAGTTTTATATGTTTTATTCTAAGATATTTCGAAGTTTTATATGTTTTATTGGTTGGTTCACGAACAATTTTCTATTTCATTTTAAGAAAGTGTTACGAAAAGAAATAATTAATTTCACAACTTATTCAAGTTTTTAAGGTGGTTGGATGAAATTAAAATTCTAAGATTTTGACTTCGAGTGCTAAGTGTCACAATTGCACTTTTCTTGCTAGCAGACTTTGTGATTGTGCAACACTCACTCCCAACACCAAATGAGTCGAGCCAATTTGGAATCACGTCGCCTACGACCGGACAACGTATGCTCAAGCTTCTGACCCCGTTTCGAGAAGGAGGTTTTAGAAAATGGGGGCAGAGAGATTTTCGAAAGCGAGTTTGAAAGTAAAAGAATCAAAAAAGATTTGAGAGCAACGTTATATAACTATAAGCAAAAAGCAATACAACAGCTTAAATAGCATATAACTTTCCAGGTATGGAGAATTTGACAACTAGTCGCATCCCCTATAGTATATTTTGAGGCGATTCAAGTCTGGCAAGCCTAAACATGATTTCGCCGAACGGTCATACAAAAGCAAGGGGAGGAGTTGACAACTAGTCACACCCCTATAGTACATTTGAGGCGATTCAGGTCTGGCAAACCTAGATATGATTTCACCGGGTAGTCATACAAACAGAAAATACAATAGTAAGGCAATACAACATGAAATTAAATAAAAGATTCGACGTGACATGGGCATGCGGTCACGGACAACACGCCCTGGACGAGCATGACCGTGACATCCTCTCCCACTTAATTGGTTAACGTCCCTGTCAACCAACTATTTTCGAACTCAGTGATGTGGATTGCAGCGGAGTCCAGATCTTCGATGCATTCCCAACTTGTTTATTCCGTAGGGAGATTCTTCCATTTGACCAAGAATTCTCGAATCCTACGTATGGGTCTTCCCACTTTCAGACCCCACTTTCCAACTCTGTAGGCTAGGATTGCTTCTATTTCTTTGGTGTCCTTCTATTTTAGATCGATACCATATCTGGTGATAACATTTCGTTGATCGTCACTTGGATCGAGGTGGTAAGGTTTTAAGCTTCTCACATAAATTACTGGGTGAATTTTCATCCATGGGTAACACAATACTGTAAGAGGTAGTTTTTGAGAACTTCGACTAGTCCTCCGTATTTCCGCACAAGTCTTTGGTCTTTCTGACTGAGACCTGAACAAATTAGATTTCGCAGTCGAAAAAACCGAAGACTTGCACGGAAATACGAAGGACCAGTCGAAGTTCTCAAAAAGATCGAGCCTACATCTTACACAGTCGTATTACTCACATAATTCATATGAGTAACCAAAACCCTAAATTCAACCAGTAATTCATATGAGTAACCTAAAACCTTACCACCTCGATCCAAGTGACAATTAGCGAAATGTCATCACTAGACCAATCTAAACTAGAAGAACACCAAAGAAATAGAAGCAATCCTAGCCGACAGAGTTAGGAAAGTGTGAAGACTCGAGGGAGGATTCAAGAATTCCTAGTCAAATGGAAGAACCTCCCTATGGAAGAAACAAGCTGGGAACGCGCCGAAAATCTGGACTCCATCGCAATCCATATCACTGAGTTCGGAAATAGTCAGTTGACACGAACGTCAACCAATTAGGTGGGGGAGAATGTCACTATCATGCTCGTCTAAGGCGTGTTGCCTGTGGCCGCATGTCCATACCACATCAAACCCTTTATTTAATTTCATGTTGTATTGCCTTACTACTATATTTTTTGTTTGTACGACACGTGAGACCTAAATCACCTCAAAATGTACTATATGTACAGAGTTGTCAACTCCTCCCCTGATTTTGTAGGATCGTTGGGCGAAATCACATCTAGGCCTGCCAGACCTGAATCGCCTGAAATGTACTATAGGGATGCAACTAGTTGTCAAATTCTCCCTACCCCAAAAGTTATATGTTATTTAAGCCGTTATGTTGCCTTTTGCTTATAGTTATACATCATTGCTTTCAAATCTCCTTTCATTCTTATTTCCAAACTCTCTTTCGAAAATCTCTCTGCCCCATTTTCTAAGACCTTCTTCTCAAAATGAGGCCAAATGGTTGAGCATACGTTGCTCGACCGTAGTCGACACGAATCCAAATTGGCTTGACTCACTCGATGTTGGGAGTGAGTGCCACACAATCGCAAAATCTGCTACCAAGAAGAGTGCAATTGTGACACTTTAGCTCACAAGACAAAATCTTAAAATTTTAATTTCATCCATTCAAGTTCTGAAATTAATTTTTTTCTTTTTAACAATTTCTTATAATGAAATAGAAAATTGTTCATGGACCAACCAATATAAAGCATACAAAATTCCTAAATATCTTAGCCTAAAGAAACTGTTCTTTTTTTATAAACTTAGGTGTCTGAATTCATTTTTGCATACTTGATCAATCCCAAGAAATAATTGGCCAACTCTATAACATTTTGACATAAGGAAACTCCAAGAATATTTAATATCCTAGGTAGAATAGGTGGTCGACATAATTTAAACCCAGGCCAATAGTAAGTTTAACAAAGTATAGTTATCCAACAAGTTTAAAATTTGCAAGCCTAACCATAGCAAGAACATGAAGTCTCAGGTAGAATTTACATTAAGAATTACCAAATTTTCATTCAGTGAGATGTAGGGAAGTAATACTGTCAAAGACAAACCTGCTTGTTACCTCTCACTCCCAAATGAGGCGTTGCCAAGGTAATGAAACTGATTGGCTCTAGTCCTGCAACCACACCTCTTTTTGAAGAATTGCAAGGACCATTTAGTGTGCTACTTAAGGTATTTGAGTTATTGTAAAGGACAGCAATAGCATATCTCGCTATCAAACCACCAAGTGAATGAGCCAAAAAAGAAATCCTTTTTAAGCTCTCTGTTTTCTTTACAATTTGCACGACCTGCTTGTCGTACAGATCATGAAATTAAATGTACCTTTCAATGAGCTAGAATACATATAATCCAAATCTGAAAAACTGTCTTAAGAAATATAGTATCTTAATGGATCAAGACTTACCTCATCAGCTAATCTCTTTCCCGCACCATCAATTCCAGTGAAAGATTTAGTAAAAGCATTTGAGGAACTTGCTACAAATATAAGAAATGACTAAAATATAAGATGAGCATCATACTAAGGAGATGTAGAAGATGGATAGAAAATATAGAAGTTCCATCTTGAAAATGGTCATGTCATGAGTCATTAAGAATCTATATCTCTATATATATTATATATTTATTTTTCTGGGGGGGGGTGGTATGGGAGGAGTGATGATGGCTGTGAATGTACTTTAGGCTTTTACTTTGAACTTCTTTTTTTTTTTTTTTTTTTGTTCCAAGTGGAGATAACTGTTGTCTAACTGGTTACTTGATGATGGGCATACTTAAAAGCCTAATTCGTTGTACATACGTCAGACTTGGTAATGATAAAATTTTACAGAAAAACAGTAGCATTAGTAAGAGAGGAGCAACCATTGATATGTGGCTTACACTTAGCAATTTGGTAGCTAGGGACCTTCCTACTACCATTTAAAGAACAAAATGCAGTCGACTCAAGATCCTCCAAACCATATTTTCAAGCTGTTAATTTGCAACAGAGAACCAAGTTCCTAGAGGACCTCACACTTACAGAGACGGATCATGTTTTTTACTCCTAGGATTACCAAAACAGAGCCCTTGGAAACAAAAGATAATGAAAACTGACTCGCAATGCACGAGGTAGCACCATCCAACATAACCAACACCTTCATAGTGGAAGGAACGCATGCATGCACTTTCTCAAGCCTACAAACACATTTAAATAAGATATTGATAAGAGACAAGTAATATGTATGAACATTGGGAAGAACCTGCCACAGAGTTAATATCTTTCCCTCAGAATTAAGAGCCTTTTACTTTTTAGTGGTTCCCAGATCAATTCGGTAATTTCCAAAATTGAGCAAAGAGGGACCACCATGGGAAATCCAAGTTAATTGAGAAGCAAAAATCTTTCAGCACAACTATATCTAGTCAAGCACCTCAGATTTAATATTTAAGCCCACCAACAATGCTTTAGACATGTTGACTTTAAGCCCCAGGAGTCTAAGAAAGTGATTCTTATCTACCCTCATATCCTTCAAGGATCTTCAACTCTAGACTTTTATCAATCAAACAAACACCAGACACTACATTGGCTCAAGAAATGCAGCCACATATCCATTTTCTGCATGAGACATCAGCGTGCTTTGAACTCAAAAATTCCAATTGACCGTAAGGTGGCCTTTCTCCAAATTACTTTTAGAGGTCGTTTGGTTGGAGTTTTTGTTTGAGATGCATGAGAATACGATGTTTAGGAATATAAGGTAACAAAAGGAGAATATTTTAAAAAGAACTTAAAGCCAGAGCTCCACATGGAAGTAACAGAACCAATATTATACAAATCTCAAGAACAACCTCAGAGATTCACCTTTTACTTTCCAACAATAATGCAAAAGTCGTAAATATTACACTCATGTTGATGCTTCCTGCATTTTAGAAATATTGTAACATGTACACGCTTATATTGCAATATTTGATATTCCATTAAGCATGGATGGTGACATATTCTCACATGAAGAAGAACATACCATATATTACAAAGTTTCTTCCAAGACGCCTTTTTAACTCTGCTTCAAAGTAAGTCCAATCACTTGGGCTACATAATAAATGCAGTAATCAAAAGAGAGAGGGGGGAAGGTGGGCTGGGAGAGAAAGAGAGATTTTCTGATAGCTATCTAAATATGTTTGAATTGGCTAAACAAAAACTTTATGTGAGAATCAGTTTATAGATCTACTACATTTGAACTCTAATAATCCCCAAAAACCACAGATATTCAGCCAAATATATGCATGTTTCATAAGAAGTAAGAAATATGATTCCCTTTTAATCTTGTTTTACTTACTATCTAATCTGGTAACAAGCAATCATAAGGTGTAATCAAAGGATACCTAGCCATGATGCCATGAACAAGGACAAGAAGGTGATCTGGCTCGTTTCGTACATTTCCAAAGCTGCTTGATGATAAGAATGTTCCCTGGGTTGAATTACTCATACCTTGAGGTCCAAGACCAAATACTCTCCAACTGAGATTCAAGTCTGCAATGCATAAATTTTGCTGATGTCCATCAATGGCATGTAAAAGAGAAAACTTGTAACCAGCTTAAATAATAAAAAAATAATAATAAATAACGGAAGAAAAAAAATCTAGAATCCAAAACAAATAATTAAGCATAGATAAATTTCAGGAAAAAAAAAATCAAACTGATGTATGTTACAAACATCAAGTTCATTGGAGTCCGGAGAAAGTATTGAAATCGGTTCTAAAAGCAAATACATCCAAAACAAGAAAAAGATTTATGAACATGTTTTCATGATTAAGCAGAGCCTTTCTAAAAATGTTGTAGTGTGGTGTAGCATTGGATTGAAATGTGCTCCCACAATGATAAAATAGGGAAAAGGAACCATTAGCAAGAGGAAATAAACCAATATGAGAATGAAAGTCACAGCTGTGCATTCATAGTACCTTCTAAAGATTTTTTTTATAGAAAAATAACCTTCACTTCTCATCAATGAAAATGAAATATAAGATGAAGAAGAAAAAAAAAACCATGAGTTTAACCATTAGGAAGGTTACTTTTGAGCTATAATCCATCGATTGCATGTCTAATTTCATAGCTCATAGAATGAACACTTGCGTTCCCGTGGAAGGATGGAGGCATTTCTCCTCATCCACCAACGGTAGGTTTGCATTACATCTCCATGCCATCGAAAACCCTATTTTAGACTACCTTAGTACAGGACAGTTTTGTAACAAGAATTCACAATTACATACAGGAGACTGAAAATCTCAAGCGAAGAATTCGCGAATCTTAAAACGATACGTGATATTCGGAATATTTGTTCATCCAGCTATAGAAAAACGAGATACTCACTCCCTTATTCACTTTCAATTCAACAACAGGAACTCAAATTCTTCATTTAAATTGTAATTGATAAACAACAACAACAACAACAACAACAACAACATTAGCGCAAATAAGAAACGTAGCCAAGGAGAGGGCGAGAAGTACCAGATGAAGAACAGGAGGGAGAGGAGGAGGAGGAAGAGGAAGAAGAAAACGACGAGGTCACTAAAGGTTCATGAGAAGAACCGGTTCTTGGACGGCCAAAAATGTGGTTGTAGCAAGAGCGGGCGTGAATAAAAGGCGCCAATGCCATATATTTATAGAGAGGAGTGAAATCGTTGTCCAAGTGGAGTCAACAAGAAGCCACAACGTTCGTTATCCTCTTCTTCGATGATTCAGGCGAAAGCTGATGCCCTCCAACCCAAAAAGGAGCGGCGGAGAGAGAGAGAGAGAGAGAAGGCCCTAAAATCGCCGCCGAATCAGTCGCCTGTTCTGGGGAGAACCGCCATTGATTATGGTGTCAATAATGAAAACAAAATGCTGAGTTAATAAAAATGACTAATTTTTTGTAATAAAAATATTTATCAAATTTCAAAACATTTAATAATATTCATAAATTTTAAAAAATTAAAAATATATTATCTTTAAATTTTGTTTCTGTAAGAGGACACCTTCAAAAAAAAAAAAATACTAATAAACTTTTTAAAAAAATTCTTTTTAAATGTTTATTATATTTAAAAAAAAATAAAAAATGGCATTAATAACCTTAAACTTTAAAAAAAAAATAAAAAATGACTCCTTGTAAATCATATTCTTTCCTTAATTTCTTCTTTTTATTTTTTTTTCAATGACAAAATAATAATGACAGACTTATCATAATTTTAAATAATAATACATCTTACTTATCATAATTTTAAATAATCGATCGCTTATCATAATTTTAAAAATAACTTAAACAGAAAGTGGGTAAAACAATATTCTTGAAGCAATGGAAAAATACATATATGAGACGAAAAATTGTTAGTCATCGGTTATTTGCGAGAGATCGATTCTTTAATATATAGTTCATTCATATACCTCTCATTTACTCGAATGTCACATAAACAATAAACCATGAGCTTAGCTGATCAATTTAGTCTATATGATTTTCTCTTTAATAGCAGGTTCAATTATAGTTCTACACGTAACCAAGTCACCTTATTGTATTAAATAAAATAAGACTAAAAGTTGCCACCCAAAATTGATGACGAATGGCAAACATAATAATTTATAGTTGACCATGTTCCCAGAAAAAAGAGTGTAAGGTAGTGATCTCTTCTCATCTCACAACCGTCTATCCATCTTCCTAGTTTAGTTTTCTTGTTGTATGTCTAGCTATCTATCGCATTATCTTTACTGAGTTCCACGAGCCTCATTGCTTCCTTAAGCCACCATTCAAGAGTTGAGGTTGAGTTGTCGGAGATCTATTGAGGCGGAGACTATTTTCGAGAAAGGACGAGATGGTTCCTTTTCCCTCAAATCAATGAAGAAGGGAGAAGTGTATTCTTCTGAATCCCCGAAAGCGAAGAGCTACTCATCGTGCGTCATTGTATAGATCCTGCAAATTTTTTAGAAAGAGTGAGCCCCAGGGAGTGGCAAGAGAACAAACATTTAGAAACAAATAGGAGTGGCTTTCTACCCGAACACATCATCTGTATTGCCAACCAGAATTCCAAGCAATGGCTACATAGTTTGCATTCAAAGATATATATACCTCAAAACTTTAGCAATCAACAAATCAAACGAGAAATAACTCCTCCTCTTGCTGTTAATGGACAAAGTACTAGAATACGATTCGTGCTGGATACTGTCTATACATTCCTATACATTTTGAACATTGTCTACATGCGGAAAGCTCTAAGACCTCCAAGAACTGAATACATGCAAGTCCAGCAATGCATTGTAATGACCCTTCTCAATTTCCTCCTCTTTCACATCATGAAGAAGAAGGGTTTCGATTATTATATCTTCCCATTCGATACCGACAGCTCTCTTACGCTTTCTTTCCTTCTCAGCATTTACATCGCCAATCGCAGCGTGTGAAGGAAGCATGATCCTCTGGATTCGATTCTTAGCAGCGTTTATTTTCTCCTTCCTCCTTTTGTATGCATTGCAACTAGTTACAAATGAAGGCGGCATACCATTCAATCCTACATCAGTCTCCAATAATTGATGCAATAGAAGCTTTTTGCTTAATTGTGATTTTCCCTCCCACCACTCTGTACTTGACTGAAAACCAGCTTTTCTTCCCAGCTTTCTTCCATAGATTTCATTAATCTCACCCGATGACCTGAGATGAGCCATTTCATCCAAAAACTTAGTATAAATCAAGGATAAACATTCATGGGAAATGTTGAGTTTGTTTCGATCATCACAACTCGATTCATCATGCCAACTATTGCCTATTAACTCAAAATACTGAGAATCATCTTCTAAATTATTGACCTCACTTTCATACTGTAACTCTTTTCTTAAACACTCACTCACTGCAGCCTGCAAATCGATCCCCACGTCCTCGAAATTCTTCCCCTGACCACAGGTATTTGACATTGATTTCAACTCCATATATTGGATCACGAAAGGAGCATTCTTCACAATATTCCTTTTTGTGATATCTTTTCCCCAAGGCAACTTTTTACCAACTTCTACAAGTGCCCCCAAAAGTTCTCTGTACCTCTTCTTACATGTAGAAACCTTGGCATGAACCTCCATTGCTACATCGTCAATACTAACATTAACCTCATTCAATCCTGACACCAGAACCAAGACGGCAGCCACCATGGGTAGTGGTTGCCGCCCAGTCGTCAGAAACCATTTCATAGCACACTGTAACAAAAAGATTCCTTGCTTAACTATTATGTCCAGTGTATCCGCTTCTACTTTGGAGAAAGAGGGTGAATTCCTTGCCGCCCGCTCCAATGACCCCACAATATCAAACCCGGGAAACGCAGGGCCCTTCAAATCCAAAAAATCGACAACTCTGAGAACCATTCGGCCAAGTTCATGTAGATCACACTCAATGGTCGATGCAACCTCCGACATTGGCAATGGACGATTATCCTTGCGCATAGAAACGTAAGAACAGGCACCAACGAGAATTGAGAACCAATCGCCTTGTCCATACTCACCCTCTGTAATCGTCGATACTAAAATCCTAACATCGTTAGATTTGGAAGCAGAAAACCCTAACCTAAACGTAATATCTTCAATAATTTTTTGAGCCTCATAGATTTTCTTATCCTTATAATTCAAAACACTGCCCGAACCTGAGGTTCCAACGCGGACGAATGTGCCTTGCGGACCATTGAGACCGCCAAGCTGGGCATCGTAGTTGTCAAATTCCTGAACAATACCGCAGGAGGAGCAAATCAGATTGCCGGAAACATCGTCGCGGAAGAGCGACCTGCCGCTGCAATTCTTGCAGGAGCCCGACATCGGAGAGACAAGGTTGGAGGCAATAAATTCAATGCATCAGCTTGAGCGTTTCCTGAAGATGAGAATTATAAACCGCTGCAGAGATTTCACCGAAGAACGATACGGTGGTGAAGAAAATTTCAGCGATTTGAGCGAAGTGCAAACCCTAAGAAACATCCCTCTTCCAGCGGCATTACGGAGTTAGGAGTGTCGTGTGACTATGCGGAAGATCAGCGGGAAAGAGCTGAATTTCGAAAATGGGCCGCATGTCTCAACAGAACTGCACGTGGGCCCAAACAAAGCCATATTGGGCCTTCTAGTGACATTATTGGGCTTGTTGAATATAAAAAGTTATATATTGTAAGCCATGTTGTTATCTCTAAAATCTCTCCCGGCTCTCGTTTTCTAAAATCTCTCTATTTCTAAAATCTCTTTCTGCCTCATTTTCTAAAATCTTCTTTTAAAACCGAGGCTTTAAAACCGAGGCTAGAGGCTCGATCATATGTCGTTTGACCGTAGGCGATGCAAGAGACTAGAGGCTTGATCATACATCGCTTGGCCGTAGGCGATGCAAGAACAAATTGGCTTAGCTCACTTATCGTTGGAAAGTGAATATCACACAATCGCTAGTCCGCTGCTAGCTGCCTTCAAAAGTGCGATTGTGTCAAGAACAGTTTTGGAAGTTCGAAGTAATTTTTAATCATTTTGACCGTTTTCAAAATATTAACCGTTAAAATCCAAAGTGATAATACTTTTAAACCCTTAGAAAGTTTAGAATATTTTTTAGACTTTTTTTTAGTTTAAAAATATTATTGGAACTCTTAAAAGTTAAAGAGGCGTTCATGCTCAAAGGTATTTTTATTAATTTAGTCAATATATTATACAATTGCTCGACCTTCCCTAATCAAATTGCTCGCCCAATTCATGGATTCAAAAGGGTTGTATCCCCTCAACATTGTTTTCAAAACCAATGATATGAGATTTTAAGTTAAGGTATAGAGATAGTTTGACGATCATCAACAAGAGATCGAAAAAAAGTAATGGAATGAGACTTTTGTCCACAAATTGTAAAGAAAAAGTAGACAACAATGGAGGTAGTAATTGTTCAGAACATAGAACTCTATATTACATTCAAAATTTCCTTTCCCATAATCAGTATTCAAAGATTGAAGTTTCCAATACTCTGCTAAACCAGCAACTCAAGTTTGCTAGATTTCTAGTTCTATGAAATGAAAACCTATAGCATTGCTTGATAAACTGATAGAAACTAACCTTTAGTTTCTTGCTAATATATTCACATCAGGCATTCGTCTAATCTGCTTTTGTGTAGTTGAAAAGCAGGATTAACCCAAGCTCCGCAGCTGCACTGCATGCCAGCCCAGTTGAAGGAACCCAAGCGAGCTTTGCAGCCAATACACACGAGTTTCTCTTCCACGTGGCCGTCTTGTACTGTTCGATCAAGAACAAAAACGAAAAAAGTTAGTCGATTTTGCATATGAGCAAGTCGAAACAGAGGGAAAATGGGGTTTGTTTTGCTTAATCTTACAGGTTTCCATCCATTTCATTAGTTCAACAAATATAGAGGTGCAATCAGCTGGTTTGTTCTCCAGTTCGAGTTGATTACTACTTCTCTTACTCCACTTGAAGCTTAGTTCACCTTTTCCTCTTTCATGGGTGACTATACTCTCTTGTGTAGCAACAATTCTACGACACTTCTTACAACGATATACAACTTGAGAATTGAAGGATTCTGAACTTGAGTTATTTGCTTCAGCCATTTATGTATCTTTACAGCGTTGCCTGATACACTGGGAAATAATTGATTTTTGTTAAATGAACAGACAAAAAAGAGGAAAATAAGGCAACATAGGGGAAGAAACTTCAGCAACTTGGCCAAACAACAGATTAAAGAGCACTCCAACAAGAAAGATTGAAACTGGGACAGTATTAAGTTGTCTGACCCTCTTTCTTCTTTTCTGTTTTTTTATAAGGAGCCGATTGAACGCAAAGAGAGAACAAAGTAGCCTAGGGGCTGGGGAGAGACATCCCCCCAAATGACTGCAAAAGCAACGTCATCT